GGGCCGGGGCGGGGCGGGGCGGGGCGCTGGCTCAGGCTCAGCCTCAGCCTGCGGGCTGTGAGGCGCGGCAGCTGGGCGGGGTTGGGGGCTCGCCGACCGTCCTCCCTCCTCCTGGGCGAGGCGGGCGAGCACGAGCCCCGGTCCTGGCCTTGGGCAGAGGTCTGAGGGTACGGACTAGACACACTTGCGAGTTGGTTTTTCGGCATCGTCTCCTCAGATTGGAAACGTAGACTTTGTGACTTTGGTGGTGACCGCGCTTGGTCAGAGACTGTGCAGACTCTCTGATTTGGTGTAAATAAAGTGACAAGGAAAGCAAAGATGTAGCGGTCTTGCGGAGACGTTCCCGCGGAGTGGGAGCTGGTGCGTCAGGAGAAACGGGGTCCGGGAAGGCGGCGGAGGCGTGCGCGAGGCGCTTTGTCACGCGTTTGGCGGACTTCGCTAGGCTCTACAGTTGGATACGGTCAATGGGTGAGAGTTCTGCCAGATTTGGAAAGTAATGGGCTTTTGTGTTAACCCAGGGTTTTGTTTCTTTACAAATTGGAGCCGTTTGGGTAGTCACAACTTGCCTTGTATTTCTTGAAGAGGTGCTAGGGTGTCGCTGCGTTTTCAGCCCTCAGTGTGAACTGTACTTTGTTGGATAAATTGATGGCAAATGAATACCTTGCGCCGGGGAGTGAATCTTCACAACAGTTTTGAAAATGTCTTTAATGTCTTTAAGAAGGTCTTTTTAAAAATCAGAGGGCTTGTTTTCTTGCGTTGTCAAAAGTTTGAATTTCTTTCGTAAAATATGAGTTTTAAGTAAACCCGTTTTGGCAGGATTTTAGATTTAAAGATTGAAATTTATTTTGCATGACCTAGTCACGTTGAGCTCTAATGTTTTAAAAGCTATAATTTTGTACCTTACAGAAAGAGGCGAAAAGGAACTAAAATTTAGGGTGTGCTTGCCAAGAACCAGGTAGGATGCTGAGTGCTTAACTGTCATTTAGTCTTACACACCTTAGTGAAGTAGACATTGTTCCCATTTTACAGGTTTAAAATACTGAGGCACAGAAAGGTTAAATGCCTGCCTAATGGAAAATGACAGATACTGCAATTTGGATTTGGATTCAAGTATTTCTCACTAAAGACCAGCATCTTGCTCTGGCACTTAAAAGATGTAACAATTATTTTACAAGAAAGAGTTGTTTTATCTGTAATGTACAGATATTATTATGCATACATATGACTGAAAATTTTTGCCCACGTGCTTTAATAACTAGTGGTTCTGTAGGGTAGATGTGGTGAATACTAAAATAATAGTTGGCCTACAGTGGCTCCCCTTGCTATCTCTGCCAGGCATTGTTTTAAAAATCTGTTTTATTATTTATTTAATCTTAATAACCCTATGAGGTTTACATTATTTTATCCCTATCGTACAGACTTTTAAAGATGGAAACAGAATTTAAGTAAACTGTCTAAAGTGATACAGCTAGTAAATGGGGGAGGTGTAATCCAAGCCCAGGTATTCTAGTTACAAGCCTAAGGACTTAATGCTGTTTGATACTGCCTCTCATGTAACTAGACATGTCCAGTAGTCACCTTGAGAATATTAAAGTGTAAGCGTTCTCCTCCTGGGGAAGGCAGTGTCCTATCTAGATAGGTGATTGCTGACATAGCATCTTTGTTTTTGGGAGGTAGAATTTGAATTAAGTCTTGAAATTGGATAGATTCTCCTAGATGGAGAGAGAGCTTAGGATATGACAGGAGCCAGAAACTCACAGTGGAAGATCAGTGTTGATGTGTAAATGTGCCACAGAAGTAAAAATGTCAGGAGAGTGGTAGGCTCAATGCACACTGCTCCTGTGTTTATCTATCACCAAGTGTTGGTGGCACTGTAACTAATCCAAATCGAGAATTGTCTGAATTTAACTTTATGAAGGTAATAGCCACACTTGGTCTGCAGCAGGCCAGATAGTAAATATTTTGGGGTATGTGTAAGAAGGCAACTGTTAAGAGGTGATCTGTGAGAGGTGGGCAGAGTCCTTAAGAAATTTGCAAGCTATAGTAAGAGTTTGGAATTTACTGTGTAATAGTTATGGAAGGGATTCCCAGTGATTTTAATAATAGAGCAAAATAGATCAAAGATCACTGCAACACTTGCTAGTTATAAGACTTAGATGAATTACATAAATATTTTTGCTTCAGTTTTCTCATAAGGAAAATAGAGATAATAATAGAACCTACCTTATAGAGTTGTCAGTAAATTAGTGAGATAGAATATCTAATCAAGAAAAAAAAGAAAATCCAAATTAAGTTAGAAATGATTTTTAAACTGGTTTTGTTAACAATTCTGTAATTGTGATGAAATTGCTATCCTTCTGGATAAAAGTAATTTGTCAAAACAACTCAAGAAAAAGTAGAATAATTTGAATACATCAGTCACCATGGAAGAACTTAGAAAATGTTATAAAATCTGTGCTCAGATTTTTTAAAGTTCTTTTTTTTTTTTGTCTTTTTGAGACAGGGTTTTGCTATGCAGTTCACACTGGCCTTGGGCTCACTTTCTAGCCCAGGCTAGTCTTGAACTTGCAGTGATCCTCCTGCCTCAGCCTCCCGAGTGCTGGGATTACAGGCATGTGCCACCACGCCCAGTTTAAAATTCTTTTGAACTTTTAAGGCACAAAATTTCTGGTGTGATGTAAACTTTTTCAGAAAGAAACTTTTGTAGGAAGAGATGGAAGGCTTCCTAATTAATTTTCCAGAGCAGTTTTGATACCAAGAGTTTATAAAAAAGTACCAGTGTTGGCTTATTCATTGATAGTGGGAAGTATACAGACTTGCCAGTGTAAGATCTGAGAGATACAAACAATTTCGAAATAAAATACCAACAAATTGAAAGGCTTTTCTCTGTAATTGGCTGAATCTCTCTCCCTAAGAATGTCAAGAAATGTGTTAATATGTTATAATAGTAGGTGAAAAGAGAAAAGTAATTTGATCATCTGATCCCAAAAGACACTTGGTACTATCTATGATTTGTTCTGGTTTCAATCGCTGTGCATGACCAGCAGAATACTTAGTGTGCCGTGGACTAACGCCAACAACCTTTTTTAGTGGGGAATAGCTAGGGGAAAGCTTTTAGATACTATTGTTTCTATTTCACTTACCAATATTTGTACTTCTAGGAATCTTTTCCATAAAACTACTTGCATCAGTGCAAGCTTCTTTTTTAGTGTTCTTTAAAAGAGTAAAACTTTAAAGTTGAATATTCGTAAGTTAAATAAATCATAAGGTGTTTACAAGCTAGGATACTAAGTATTTGTTAAAGTGACTGTGGTATATTTAAAGGTGTTGGTTTAGAAAGAGTTCTTCCGCCTGGTTTGCCTAGTTTTGTCCTTTATATGAATTGAGTTGTCCACCATTCTCTTATTTGTGTCTGATTTCTTTTACTCAAGGTTGTGGTTGTGAGGTTTATTCTTGCTGGGGGCAGCAGTAGTTGGTTTATTCTCATTGCTGTTGCTCTTCACTTGTATTAATACACCATGGTCTAATTGCTCATTGCTTGTGTTAGATTCAGAAAAAAAATCTCAGTTTTAAAAAGTACAAGTTGGTGGAAATTACAACTCAAATTGGAGGTGTTTTGTAACTTGAAATTTTTGTACAACATTGGTCTACATTTATCTAACTTGGGAGTGAACTCTCCCATCTTCTTTGTTCCCTTTTGATTTCTCTCCTTTGGGTCTTTGGTGGTCAGTACATCCTCTGTGGAATGAAGAGGAAGCAGGAAAGAGATGATACTTGAATTCTCAGTTGTGCCTCTTATTGCTGCAATGGGTCAGCATGGATAAAGTGAATTTGCTTTTTCCTTAAGGTGCCCCTCCCAGTAACTGTGACACAGGTGTTCACAGTTACCAAATCTGGAGTACAAGATAGAATATGATATTGCCATAGTCTGTGTCTTGTTCTAGTTTGCTCTGTAGTTACATGACTCAGAGCCACAGCTGAACCTTTAGAATTCTAGATTTTCAGGCTTATATTTTACCTCAATTTGTTTAGATTTAACCTAAAGTTTAACTACTAAGGTAGTTGAAATGAAGTGGAGAGCTACACTCCATGGTTTTGCACCACAGGTGCAGAGGTGATGTCTCCCAGCGTCTCTGCTCCATGCTTTGCCAGGGCCCAATCAGGCACAGACAACTGGTGTACGTTTTGAAGGCACTGCCTGAGTGAAAAGTCCTTTTGAGTTCCTTCACAGAAGCAGTTAGCAATCATGTTTTCTTGCTCAGCTGTTTCCAGCATTTCCTCAATAGACTTTAAGTTGTAAAGCATTCAAGTCACAATTTGGAATTGCATTTAACTTTGACTTTTATTGCTAGTCCTGGGCAGTGTGACCCTTCAGTTTTTAAAGTCTTGTTCTAGTGCTGGGGGATGTAACTCCACGGTAGAGCACTTGTAGCATTTGCAAGGCTCTTGGTTTGATTTCTAGTACCAAAAAAGAAAAAAAAAAACTTTCCAAATGGCCCATGGTTGACGCTCATATTGTAGCTCAGTGATATGTAGATTTCTTGACTAACCTGCTAAGGCCACATGTTTGGGTGTGATTTCCCAGTACCCAGCCCCCTAAAAGGTAAATTGCTAATGAAAGAATTCTTATTTTGTCACTCACTAAAATCCAACCAAAACTTCAATTCGATTTGAGGTGTCATTCTGAAAGCATATCCGTATTAAGGTTATTTAGGTAGTAAGTATGTGAAGTAACTTTTCTATGTGTTGCTTTTCAGGAGTAAAAGGTTTGCCACTCTTAGGTGACTAAGCAGTGGCACAAATAACCAGCAGTTTTACAAATACTTAGGAGGAAGTGGAATTTCTCCTGGTGCACCATGTGTGCCAGCGCCAGTGAGGTTAATGTGGTTTGTATATTAAATAGAAAATGTCTGTGTTCTTTATGTAATGCTATACAGTTATTTTCTAAATTGAGAAATTACATATAGTGAAATGCATAGATCATAAGTGAAGTTTTATTATGAGCATTGACAATGAGGTATAAAACTTCTGTGAACATTGGGGTACAGGTGTCTTTGTGAACACAACATTTCTTGAAAGTAAATTGAAGTTAAATTGTTAGATCATAGAGTTGACTTAATTTCATGGGAATCGCCCAAATAGTTTTTCAAAGTGGTTGTGCTGTTTTTGCTTTTCTGTTACATTCTGCTGTGTTTCTATTGGCTGTGAACCAAAATATAGATTACTAAAATTACAAAAATATACATTATTACCAAAATATACATTACTATGTAAATGTAGCTAGCTATGAAACACATTTAGTCTTAATGACACCTAATGTTTTTCATCTTTGGAGATAATGTTAACTACCTACCAAGAGTCAGTTTTGATATAGTTATGTGAAAGCACTTTGAAAAGCACAAGTCACCATACAAGAGTAAGACGGTATTTATAAATACATAATTATGCATAGCTCAATGCTATAATTTCTTTCATGTATTTTGAAACAAAGACATACATAGATTCCAGGTGGCTTTATTTTCACTTGATCTTAGCCAAAGGGTCAAGAAGCGATCCAAGTATATTTATCTTAAAATTATTCCTAGAATTTATAGTTGTTTCTTTGACTAAACTTATTAAATGGAAATTTAATCGTTATTTATATCCTATCTTTCCCCAAAATGTTTTAAGGTGATTTAGAAATTAATTTATCAAGAAAAATAAGTGCTTAAGTGTTTCCTATTTTGTCCACACAGTGGCACTGTTGGATTGTTTAAAAATCAAAAGCCATGTAACATTCTTTTGTTCAGGCTTAGAAATGTTTGCTTTTAAGACAGTTTTAGTGTAGAAGACTAGTCTTTCTACCCTAAGTACATGAGTGGTTAAGCTTAGTGAAAAATGTCTTATGTGTAGAAGGGTTAATGAGAACACAGTTTTGCAAGTACATTCATTATGTAGTCATAGTACTAACAAAGGGTAAAGGTCTTTTGATAGTGCAAATAAGTCTTTGGAGCTTCTTAAAAGTGAAATTAAACTCCTCAGCTTCTTAGTTCTGTCTTTTATCTTTTCTTTTGTTAATTGTTCCTCAGGCAGTGGCAGACATTTCTACTTGTGTCAGTAGCGATGGTGGTGGTGATGGTGAGGACGGCAGCGTTCTTTATGCCTTTACGCAGGATCTTCCATATGTGCGTGAAGTAAGTGATAGTACTTGCTATTAAACTTTACTATTCTCAAGAAAAAGATTTAAATTCTTTATATATTGTGGAGTTCCTTTAAACTCATACTTAAGAAAATATTTCTCCCTACTGAATTTGTATGTTTTCCTTGGTCAGACAACGAGCTCTTCACTATTTTATTTCTCCCCTTTTCTTATGTAGTAGGAAATTCAGAGCAGTCTTGTACTGGATATCTAAAATGAGATTTTTTTAAAAGTCAATTCTTTCCTTGCCTCTGTTCTTAATTGGTAATTATTATTTCCATCCTCATAGTAGTGTGAATTTTTATTTTATCCCTGCTTTATATTGAAACTTTTGAAAGGTTGGGGAAAAATAAAAGCATTTTAAACAGATAAATATAAAGTTGTTTTTCTCCCCTAGTACTTAGTGTGTCTGTTACAGAAGTAAAGTATTAACTACTTTTAAAATATAGCAGGAACGTTTTCAACCTGACATAATCCAAACTGAAGATGCACTAAGATCAATTCTGGATATCCTTGGCCAGTGTCAGGTATGAAAATTCTGTCTCTTTAATGTGGTTTTGGGAAATGTTATAGTGAAAGTTATCTTTATCTCCTATAAAGAGAAAGCGGACAATTTATTGAAATTTTACAATATTGAATTGTTTACTGTTATCACTCCATTGTAATGATTTTTGACAGTTTCTAGTTAGAATATCATTTGCAGATGAAATTTTTGAAATACCAAAGTATATATTTTAGTGCTTTCTAAAAAACTATCGATCAAATGTCTCTTTCATCTAGATTGTTCAACATTGAGTAATTTCCCCTATAAAATCTTTAAAGGAAGTTGGCCATTGGGATGAAATTTAGAATATGCTTAAATGCAAATCAGGTTATCTCCCCTGACACAAAATTGCAGTCCATCAACGTTTTGTGGAGCTGGGCATGGTGCTGTACACCTGTAATCTCAGCACTTGGGAGGCTGAGACAGGAGGACCACCTTGAGTTTGAGGTGAGCCTGGGCTACCTAGTGAGTCCAGGCCAGCCTGAACTACATAGCTGGATCCTGTCTCAAAAAAAAAAAAAAATTGTGGGATTTTGTAAAAGTAACCATGTTGGTAGAGATTGATAGAAGTATATAATTATCAAGGGTTTTGTGATCTGCATATGCCAGAAGTAATTCAAGTTCATAAAAATGTATGTTTCTTAACTTCTAAATCTTCTTGATTAGAATGAGCTAGCCTACTTTGAAGAGTAGAAGCATGTGTGTATGTTCTCATTCTTCCTAGTGAGGACAGAAGTGGGATGCTTAGTGGGACCACTCATGCCTGAGGGGGAGATGTGCAGAGGTGGCTGGAGCAGCAGGGAGATTTATACTCACCATCTGAACATCTGTCTTCCTGTTTTCTCTCTCTGGTTGGGAACATGCTATTTCTTTGGCCCTGTCTGCCCTTCCATGCATTTTTACTGGGTGAATGCCTTCTCTCCTTTCACTCTCAACCCAGACATCATCATCTCTGAGAAGCCCTCCCTGACTGTCCGCCTGGGTTCAGTCCTGCACTTCTGGGCCTGCTTAGCCTCCTGTGCTTACCTGTGTCATGGTGCTGAGGACAGTAACAGTAATAATACTAATAGAGTACTGAGCACTGTTGGACCACTCACGTTGGGTGTTGTTATTGTTAGTATTAACGTAAGGCTGCAGTAAACTTCCATCCCTAGGAGGACCCCTAAGAGATATTTTCATCCCAGTTCTGTGCATGAGGGGATTGAAGTGCAGGGAAGTCATGTAACTTGACCAAGGTCACACCACTAGTAAGTGGCAGAACTCTAGTATTTGAAGCCAGCCATGTAGATCCTGCACTGTTTGCCTCAGCACCGCGGGCCCACAGTTCTCCCACTGGAGCGCGTGTCAGAAGCCCCCGGAGGCTTGTTGAAACCCAGTCCACTGCCCCACTCAGGTCTCCATTCAGGAGAGCGGAGGTGGAGCTGCAGTGTTGCTGTCTCAGAAGCTCACAGGTGATGGTGCCGGTCTATGGACCACACATTGAGAACCGCTGTTCCAGGCTGGTAGTCACTTGTTCTGTTGAAATCATCTCTTCTCTCTCTCCCCAGTAAAGACGGGCATTCCTCCAGATCAGGAGTGGGGTTTTGTTTTGTTTTGTATTTTAATATCTGTGTTCCTGGCAAAGTAGCTCTGACTAGTACTAGCCCCCTCAGTAAGTGCTCATTTGAATGAATGGATGACTAAGGAAGTGTTTCTGACCTTTTAATTTTCTGTTGCTTGAAATTTCTGTGGGTTTCAAGAATTCTCAGAGTTTTATCAGATTTTTACCTGATGGGCATGTGGGAGTTGTGCACTCAGTGGTTTGGTAAGTTTGTTGAGTGCATGATTGTAAAACACGTTGAAGCCAAAGGTCACATCGTTATATTTGGCTCCATGTTCTTTCCAGAGCAGAATATTCACTGCTAGCTCCTAAGTCATCACATGGTTGGTCACTCTTTGGCCTTTTAGCAGATTTGAACATTTCTTTCCTGAAGTAGCACCTTCTTTGATGTGAAATGGCCACATCATAAGTGGGATAGTGGAGAGGGGCGGTGGTGCATTTGCTTCCTCCTTCCAATGTCCCTGTGAGTTGAGTAGGACAGTGGCAGGTCCAGGCTCCTTGTGTCAGCCAGGTGGGCTCTGTGTCTCCTACACCTAGGCTTCAAATAGGAAGGAAGTTGTTTCTGGTGCCTTGAGAACTTTCCTTGTGCCTTGCATTTAAAATTTAACTCAGTGGCATTCTCACCTGTTACTTTTCTTTTGGAGGAAGAACTAATAATGCCTTTTACTATACTAGCTTATATATAAAGCTGTGCAACAACTGGAGAAGAAGTTTGATGTTATTGATAGAAAGGTGTCAAAAATTCAACGTGCACGAATGAAATACTCTTGGTACTATCGTGTAAGTAGCATTAAAATATTCTCAAAACTGTGATTAGTCTCTGTTCTCTAACGATGCCAGTCAGCTGGAACTGATATGAAACTACTAACTGTGAAATTAGCAAGGCTGATAATACTTTTGCCGTAGGAGCAGACAGGGAACTGAAACTGTTAGAAGAATACTGAAGTTTGATAAATGTATGACAAATAGGTATTTTTATGTTTGTTCCTAAAATAAATAAAAGAAAATTAAGATGTAGGGCTGAAGAGGAATAAACATCATCTTAAAATAAAAAAACAGAATTTATTTGAATAATGTACAGCAGTGTTGAATAGAAAATAAATAGTAATGTATTGAATACTCATTTCCTTTTTTATTCACTTGTTTATCCATGTTGGGTTTATGTCATTTCAGAAACCACTGAGACAGTCAAGAAAAACTAACATTTCCTCAGTTCCTAGAGAGGTTAAACCTGAGGAAGTAGAGATGTCGGGGCATTGTAGTTCATTTTCCCACTCTGAAAGTTACAGCCCAACTTCACCAGTTCGCAGACCACAAAATGATGCTGAAGAAAATGTCATGATGCCATCTTATACTTATGATCACTTATCAGAAGGTCAACACGAAGACCTGCAGGAACGGGAGCCATATGGTGGTTCACCAACTCCTTCCAATTCCAGCATCCGTAGAGATACATGTGCTGATATGTCTGGCCCTCCACTGTTCGACTCTGGCAGCCCCAGGTTTCCTGACATGGGTGCCTGCCCTGCAGACATTTCCTCAATAGCACCTATCGCATCTCTGACTCAGAGAAATCCTAACCTGACACACAGCTTCAACATGAGCAACCATCCTGGTGGCCAGGACAGAGAGCCTGCTCTGTCATCTTTCCATAACCCATCTGGTTTTGGTGAGTTTGAAGTAACATGTAATACAAATAGCACTATTTAACTTGTGTTCATCAGCATCTTTCTTACACACTAATGCAAGCTGTTTGTTTCCTATTTTAAGGGCTGGTTTTAGGTGGCATTTATAATAATGATTAACATGTATTAATTGTACACTCTGTGCAAGGCACTGTGCTGATTAATTAATACAGTTCTTCTCCACTGATATCCATAATGCCCCATTGTGTGTTTTTAATCCTCTATTTTTCTTCACTCTTTTCTCTGGATAAGTAATTCTAAACACTCCTAAGATGACCACATACCAGATGATAGGAAAGAAATTCTATGCCTCTGACTAATTCATACAAAGAAAGATAATTTGTATTGATGTTACTAGGTTCTAGGGAATAACAAAACTCCCTTCTGTTAATCCTAACTAACTTTAGGGAGCCCTGATCTCTCCTTGAGTAAGTGACTACTTCTCAGGACACAAAGAAATGTCTTAGTGAATAGCATAGCTAGAACCTATTAAGCTCTGATTATTTCATATCTCAGCTGTTTCCTTATTAAAAATATAAACCTTCAATCAACATCTATTGCACTGCAATTAAACATGAAACAAATTTTTTTGAGTGGTAAAGTTACTTTTTAAAATGGTAAACTTTAACTCAGCAGAAAATAATCTTGTTTTCTTCTAAATCCAGAATAATGTTTAAGCCGTGAAAAAAAATATTTAAAGAGCAAAAGTGATAACTGAAAATACCTATATTGACTATATGGGAGAGATTTGGAGAAAGAACTAGTTTGTTTCTCCAAGTTAATGGGTTATTGAAATTTGTTTATTAAAGTGAGCAAATTTGAAGCCTAGCATCCTAGCATTCACAAGGTACTGGGTTCCATCCCCAGCACACAGAAACAACAAAACAAAACAAAAAACTAAAGGACAAATATAAACAATTATAAAACAGTAAATTTTGGGGTTTCCCATTGGATTTAGCTAGCAAAATAAACCTAATTTATTTTGGGTAAGGGAGAAAAGAAACTTAGAGAAATTCATTGAAACAAAGTTGAGAGTAATGAGTTAGGTTAAATCAACCTAATTTAACCCAAATAATAGCTCTTATGCTGTATTTGCCTGAGGACAGAAAGGCTTTAGATTGTGAAGTCTTTTTGTGTGTGTGACCCTTGAAGCTTTAAGGGAACATCTGAAGCTGTCTCTGCTGCTTGGAGGAGGTCAGATAGGATGTTCTTGTGCTGCTATCCTCAGATCATCTTTATGTAGGTTTTGTTTAGATTTCACAGTTGGAATCTTGAGTCCTTGCTTGGATACTTAAGATGAGGTTCTAGGACTGAGGCTGTTACTTCCTACCTAACATCTCTTCTTTCAAGATCACAATCAGGACAAATATGATTTGTCTTTGGTTTTTCTCCCCACTGAAGCTACAAGTTCTCCAATTGAATCTAATCGTGCTGATCTGACACAAACCTTGCCTGATGACCCTTTAAACTGGTCTGTGGAACATGTGATCCTGTTTCTGAACAATACAGATCCTCATGTTGCAAACTCCCTCAGCCGCCACCTGAGGAGACATGTAATGTATCTTTTGATCTGGTTTTCCTGCTGCCATAACCCTTTTGAAGGACCTCTGTGCAGGCCTTTCTGTTAGGCTCTGTGTTGTGTGGATGGTGGGGGAACCCTGCCAACTAATTTTTTCCATTTGTAGGAAAGGTTATTTTGTCCAGTGTTAGATCCTTAAATGGTAGGCTAAAAATCAATTCTTCAAATGGGTGTCCATGTGCTTAGTATACTGATGTCCGTTTTTTGTCATAGTTATATACTATTTTATTCAACATCCAATATTTAAAATTGCATAGCTTGACATAATTCATTTTAAATATTAAATTTCTTTTTTCTTAAAATTTAAAGTGTATTTATAAAGTATTAAATGCTTTACTCTTCAGATTTTATTTTTAATAGTTTTTATAAAATAAATGCATATTCAGAGACTACACATTTGAAATGGGCTGCTCTCTAGTTGTTTTACATGTTCTTACATAGATATGTTTCTTTATATATATAAAGAAATAGGTACTGTGATCAAATGTGAAAGTATTATTAATTACTACAACTGCCTTCTTTCTGTAGGACATTGATGGGAAAGCCCTGCTACTACTTAATAACGAGTTGGCTATGAAGTATATGGGCTTGAAGCTGGGGACATGCCTGAAACTATGTCACTACATTGAAAAGCTTAAAGAAGAAAAATCCTAAATGTCTTCAGAAATTTAGATTGAGTTTACCAATTCACCTTCTTGTTCTTAGTTTTTGTTTTGTAGAAGGTTCCCCTTAAATTGTCACATCCAGAATTGCAAAACTATGTTAGGGCTGAGTCTACTTCTTTCAAGCAGTAAAAAAAATCCTACGCAGTGTTTCTGCTTAATTTGCCTAGTTCTAAGCCATTTAGCCTTCTAAACTTTGGAAGATACATTAATTCTAACTTACTGTTTCGAGCTATATTTCATAATTTAAAATTTTTAAGAGATAAGTATTATTTTGTAATTATTTATTATTACATTATTTAATTTTTAGAAGAATACAAGATATGAAAACTGTGGCTACAAAAAAATAAAAATAAAAAAGGGCCAGGGATATAGCTCAGCAACACAAGCACCTACCTGGCAGTGCAAGTTTGTGAGTTCAATTCTCTGTGCCAAAAAAAAAAAAGAAAAGAAAACTGTTGCTAATAGTATCAGCCATTTGTCATAAATAACAATAAAATGTTCACCAGGTGCAGAAAAACCAAATTCTCTTTATATACAAATGTAACTGCTTATTGGATACATGTGGTTAAAGGATGACTTAATTTATGTTATCCATTGTGTAAGATGAGATTCTGACCTAAACTTGGTTTTCTTTCAAATTGTTTATATGAAGATGCTGTACTATTTTCTCAGGTGTTTGGAAAATACTGCTTAACTCTTTTCAAATTTAAAATATAATAAAATTAAATAAATTCAGCAATGAATGCCAAAGCCTCAGATTTTATTTCACATGATTTCATCATATTAAATTAATGAATGAATTTGTTAAACTTGAAAAAGAGCTAATCTAGTAAATGTTGTGGCTTTATAGTTCGAATTCTCGAGTTTTAAAACATGCTCTGATTCTATTGGTAAATAGATACATAGGCACAAAGGACAGTAGCCTTAAAGGATACCCTGGGGGCTCACAATATAATTAAAAAAATGAGTTTTATTTGTGCTCAAAACCTTTGTTGCTGATAATGTTCTGGATTATGTGAATGTGGTAGAATATGCCAGTGCTTTCCCCCACCCCACCTCATCCCGTCTAGGTTGCTATGTCTGCCTGACAACTCTACCTGCTCTTTTACCATTGGGGTGAGAAGTTTTGTTATGCCTGTTGTCCCCTCTGCTTCCAGATGAACCAGCTTTCATAGGGGGACCTCTTGGAGAATCCATGCGACACCCAAGTAACCTTATTATCCAGCCTCCACACTTGCCCACCAAGGATCCCAGACACTATCATTGCTGCTGCTTCCCAGCGGGGTGTCATGTGGCAGTGTTATTGGAGACCACCCCTGACTGAGGCTCCAGGGATGATGCTGAATGGGCTGGGGTGGGGCTTTCAAGTGGCATGAGACTTGAGTAACTTGCACCCCTTTAATTTCCTGTTCAGTTTGTGAAATTTTAATTCAGAGACTGTTACATATTTTCCATCCTGTAAATTTTTCAGACTTTTAGAATGATCCTTCCTCTAGCTTTGCCTCTCAGTCCATCGTTTGACCTTCTTTAACCCTGTCCAGCAGAATTCTACAGCTGGAGCTCCAGGCACGTCCAACATTTGCTTTGGATTTTTGGCTGTGTGATTTCCCATCATCTGAATGTCTTGTAATAGTTTATATTCAAAAGTAGGATTTCCCAAACTTTCAAACTCAGGCCTCCCTCTGTAAGCACAAGAATGTCATGCCCTTCTGTAATATTTGAAATTTAAGCCCCAGCTATTAACAATGTAATTAGGAGAACTAAAAACACTGCTTTTTCACAGATATGGACCCTTCCATAGCTTCTATTGTACTTGAAACTGGCTGAGCAAATGAAATAGGTTTAAATTTCTGGGGTTTTCTACAGCTTGATGCTAGGAGGTGCTTATCAAGTCCCCCTGGGCTGATCCAGCAAATGAGGGAGGCTGTGGTGCATACAGGACATACAGAAAAGGGCTCTTTCCATTTCATTGTTTTTCAAAATTTCAGTGTTAATTATAAACATTTAGAAACCTTCCTAGAGATTTCTTAATATTAGCAGTTAGCTGTTTAGCACTGAGAAACACCTGTTCTTCCCGATGTGGTTACAAAAAATGAAACAAGGTAGAAGTAATAGATGTAAGACAATGAGGTGTAAAACATAAACACATTCCTTCTTTAGTAAATACTATAGGGAATCCTGCTGAAAACATCACAGCGAATTGGAGAAGCAGATACAAGGATAAATTGCAGTGTGGCAGTTCTGTCATCCTGTTGAATGAAAATACAGATGTTTCAAAACATGTCAGCTTCTGGTGGAATCTGATGGTGCTTTTCTGGAAGGAGCAACTTGTATCCTATCCAGAAGTGTCTCTTCACTGCTCACACTTGATCAGCACCTAGTTGTTTCAAAGTTAGCACCACTCTCTCAATCTGGGTATTCCAGTTATTATCCCTCTAGATAGTTCTGCTTTTCAGACAAGGGTATGTATTTCCTTTGTTTTAAAATTATTTTTCTCCATAGGGCCCATCTGATTCACATTTGCCAGTATACTGTTTCCTATGTTCACAAATTTCTCCTTGCCAGAAGAGTCCTCTAAAATCAGTATTACCCTAAAAGATATCACTACCAGCTGAATTTCCATACATTATAGAATTCCGGTTTTCACCTTGGTGGTTTACTCACTTTGTAAGATGATGGCCCTAGCATTAATTGTCCTAATAGGCCCCTGACAAATTTTTAGTTGTTTGCATCACTGTTACAGGATAAACTAAATTGGGTTTGGGAATTGGAAATTATATCCATATCCATCCTCCTCCCAGTTTTCCTGTTGTTAAAGTTCTGTAAATAAGGCATCTGCCAGATAAGATATTCTTGGAGGAAACATGATGGATTAAGCGAGGCTGCCATTAGTGATAGACCCAAAGTTGAATATGTCCCAAATAACACTAGCGATTTATTTCCTGCTCATAAGCCAGAAGGCAGTCTGTCATCTTCATGTTACGTGAGCAAGAAGTAGATGTCTATGGTCATAAGTCACTGGGATTTAGGACTTTACTACACAGCTCACAGATGTGGTGAAATGTAACTGATAATTCTTCTTAACATCATTTCTTTGTGTAATCGATGTCTTCCCCAATGAGGGTAAGTTCTTTCTGAGGGCAGAGAGTTTCATTTGCTTCATTCCTACTGTCCCCACTGCCCAGATTGTCACCTAACACCTAGGATGGTTTAATTATTTGTTGAATGTGTCATAATCCTGGGAATCAGATATAGGTTGACTTTTTAGTACCAAATGCATACTGAGCCTTTCCACGAGTATGGTCATCTAGTGATGAAAGTTGCTATTTGGCCTTTGTGTTATTTTCTGGTTGGTTTTACTTCTTGTTTCACACATGCACTCCCAGGCACTAAAACTATAGGGAGAATGAGTGAGTTACTGGAGAGGAGAGTGACTTTGGAGAGAATTAAAGACTGTAATTTCTAGTCATCTGGTTTAACGTGATGTCTTGCTGGCAACCATCGAATCTCACTCTGGCTTTCTCACTAAGTACCTGTAAGAAAATGAAAACACATGATACCCCTGAAAACTAAGACAGGAAGGCAAAATGTTGCTAGTCTGTCAAAGGTCATCAAGCGAGACTGAAAAAATGCCTACACCATCAATTCTAAGATGTCCTTTCCTTCTGGTATGAGTGAGTGCACCTGGTTTCTAAATGTTTTACAACCTACAGCACCTGAGGATGCCATGAAGCGCAGTCATCAGTGGCTTGGCCATGCTTCAACTCATGGTTTCCCTTTAGGTCATGTGAGCCCTAAAATGCCCAGTAAGCCCTAGCCAAGGAGGTAGAGGAAACTGGTGCAGTTCTTGGTGGTAGAATATGGAGGACTGTGCATCTAGACCTTTCAGCCAAAACGGCTGAACACAAAGCAAGAAGTTCCCTCAAGGGAGCAAAGGCTATGCTGTATATTTTTTTAAAAACTCTGTGTGAGAACTAGGAAGTGAGGTAGGAGAAAATGCCCCCATGCAAGTACTAAATAATAATGAGGAACTCAGCGTATAAGAGTAAACAAGATAAACAAAGTAACCTGACATTGGGAAGCTTACAGTCTGGGAAGACAGCATTGAAAGTACAAATACCCAGGTAACTTATAAAAATATGGCAGGAGTGAAGTAGCCAGGAGAGATACGCCAGGTGGCCTTTACCAGGTGGTGGAGAAGATCATGAAACATCTGGCCTTAGTGTTTCCACCAAAACCTGAAGGATGATGAGGTGGGGTGACAGGAAGTGTGCACTGAAGGCCAAGGCCACTGAACAACAGTGAGCTTCCATCTATACACACCTGTATCTCCGGTTCCTTTCTTAGGATATCATAAATATATCTGTTGGTCATTTTGTGATACCACTTATCTTTTCCCTCACATGGATAACCAATTTTTCCTACACCGTTTATTAGATAATCTTTCTCAAATGATAAAATTGTTACCTTTATCATATATTAAATACTTATAAAATGTTTTATGGTAAAATGCATTTGTTATTTGTGTGGAACAAGATTATCCCTACACTTAGCAGCTTAAAACAAGATATGCTTATGACCTCACACATTCTGATGATTAGAAATCAAAATCTTGGAGAGGCTTAGCTGTGTGGTGCTGACTCAGAGTCTTTATAGGAGAGCACATGTAGATACCGGCTTGAACTGCAGCCATATGAAGACCTGAGTAGGTCACGTGTGGGGTGATCTCAGTTTGTCTTGGGCTTCACTGGTTTTAGCACTGGAAGTCTTCTGTCCTAGCTGACCCCTAAATCCCAGGATGGTTGGTTACCCTACTCATATGCATGGTGACTAGAATGCTCAGCTTTCCACTAGCTGTTACCAGAAGTCCTCAGTTCTTATTGGGTTCCTCACAGCATGGCACTCATTCTCTCTGATAAAAGCAGTTCAAAATGGGGGCAGAATAGAGTCAGAAATGGTCCAAAAGAGAGCTGTAGCCTTCTGCAGATTTTTTGAACAGTTGAGCACCTATTAAGCTACAAACAACAAAGGATGCATGGCTTACACAAACAGAATCTGTCTTTGGTAACCTAGTATGAGAAGTGATAGATGGTCACTTCTGCTGTATTCTACTGGTCATGCAGATCAGCCCTGATACACTGTGGGACAGGACTACCCAAGAGTGTATATACCATGAGGTGAGAGGAGTCGGGAGTCATCTTGGAGGTTGATGTCACACATGAAAAATGGTGAACTTTACTACTAATTAAAGAAACTCAAAGTAAAACATGATATATACGATCCTTTACCTTTTACAAATTTAGCACAGGTCAAAAACAATATTGAACACTCATGCAAACAGGACTTAAATTTGGTGTAACACATTCAAAAGACAATTTGGCATTATATATTAGAAGTCTGAAAATTTTCCTGTTGATTTAGTGATTTCACTATTGCAAATTTATCCTGAGGAGATAAACAAGTGTTCAAACAGGCTTATTCATCACAATATTGTTAGTAATAACAAAGAGTTAATAAGTGAGTCCACAATAGGGGAAATGCTTACATTATTTCACATCCATTTGATAGGATACATTGCAGGCATTAAGAATTATATAGGAGAAAGTTATTTATTTACATGGAAAGATATTCACAGCATATGGTGATCAAAGCAGATCACAGATTTGGGTGTGTAGCTTTACTTCTCTGGAAATTGTATCATATATTTATATACAAATGCATTTACATATCTAGAAC